TACAATGTAGAAAGCATCAATGGTCAACCTTCACCTACTATCTGGATGCAGGCTTTGCCAGAACCACAACTAACATAAAAGCTTTGTGGGCTCTGAAGGGAGCAGTGGATGGAGGCTTATCTAACCCTCACGGTACCACAGAATTCCATGGTTATGATTCTGAAAGCAAGGAATTTAATGCAGAAGTCCATCGGAAGCACATCATGGGCCAGAATATTGCAGACTACATGCGTTATGTAGGGGAAGAAGATGAAGACGCTTACAAGAAACAGTTCTCTCAGCACATAAAAAACAATGAATGTAACTCCAGACATGATGGAGGAGATGTAGAAGAAAGCTCACACTGCTATACAGGAGAACCCAGGTTATGAAAAGAAACCCAAGAAAGAAGTTAAAAAGAAGAGGTGGGGGAACCAGCAGTTAGCGTAATGGCTATGTCGCTGGACTCCCACATAGTCAACCATAGTTCGCGTCCCGGACCTGGTGGCTTAAACTCACGCCGGGCGCATGTGCGTGCGTGCCCAATATCCCGAGAGGAGAATGGAGGAGAAGGGATTGCGGCGTGACCATCCCCCCTGGGGGATGATTTCTCGCTTTCTGTCTCTATGTCTCTCTCTGTCTGTCTGGCGAGCGCATGCGCCCTATAGTGAAAAAAAAAAACCTCTCCAAAAAATAAAAATAAAAAAAATTAAATTAAAAAAAAAAAAGAAGAGGTGGGATCATCCCAAATGTTCCTTGCCCAGAAGAAAGATTGGGTAGCCCAGAAGAAGGCAAGCTTCTTCCTAAGAACTCAGGAGCAGGCTGCTGAGAAATAAACCAAACAACTTTCTATAAATATATTCCAAATAAAGGCAATCAAATTACAAAAAAGCAGCAAAAAAAAAAAAAAAAAAAAAAGACAAAAAAAGAAACTTTCCAATAACTAAGATGACAATCTTTTCCTTTTAGAATCCATAAAGTGTCCACATAAGGAATCACAGAATATGGCAGAGTCTCCCCCTCTATTTAGATGTGTTTGTGAAGCTACATTTTTACTGAAAGCCATAAACTGTTAGGTGACATCATTTCTGAGAACTGACCTTTAGAAAATTTCTTTAAAGTGGTAAAAGAATACATATAAAAAACATTCACCACAACATTTGGGCCTTGCATAATTCGCATCATTGTAAAAAAAAGAAGAGATGGGACCAGCAGGTGGTGTGGAGGTTAAGGTGCTGGACACTCCCATATGGTCAACTGTGGTTCGAGTCCTGGACCTGGTGGCTTGCTTTCTCACTTGCCCTCTTTCTCCCTCTGTGTCTCTCTCTGGTCAAATTAAAATAAATAAATGAATAAATGAAATTAAATAAATAAGTAATTTTTAAGGAAAAAAAGAGAGAGAGAGAGACAGAGAAATAATGTTAATATAAAATAGTTAAATATATAGTTGTTTAACTCCTTAAAAAGAAATATGAAAACATGGGGCTGGCAGGTGGCATGGTGGTTAAAGGTCCTGGACTCCCACATGGCCAACTGTGGCTCAAGTCCCAGACCTGGTGGCTTGCTTTCTTACTTTCTCTCGCTCTCTCCCTCCCTCCCTCCCTCTCTCTCCTTCTCCTTCTCCATCTCCCTCTCTCTCTGTATTTGATCAAACTGAAAAATAATAATAATAGTAGTAAGTAAAGTTAAATAAAATAATTCTTAAAAAAAATGTGAAGACTTAAAGGGAAAATGTTTCGGACATATTAACTTTCAAAAGCAGGTATCGAAACTGTAGAGGTGGACCAGCCAGTGGCATGGTGGTTATGGCACTGGATCCCACATTTCCAACTTCGCAGTTCAAGTGGACACAGTGGCTTGAAAAACACAACAGGCATGTGTGCATATGTACCCAAAATCCTAACAGAATGGAGGAGAAGGGACTGCAGCGTGGTCATCCCCCAGGAAAGTGCTTTCTCTCTTGCACTCTCACTGACATGTGTTTTATCTCTCTCTAGTAAGTACAAATACCCTATAGCAATTTGAATTATTTTTTTAAAAACTGTAGGAGAAGGATAGATGGTGACATATCAGGATAACACAATCCGCTCCTTAAGACTGACCCACACCAGAACTTCCAGGTTCCCGTCTGGAGCCCTCCCTGAGTACGCCAGGCATACACGTGCCCACGATCTAGGACTAGCTGAAACTGATGGCGAATTAGAGTCCAGCTGCCTTAACCGCTATACCACCCGACCAGCCTCAAATACATCATATACAATCAAAGTCCTGAAAGAAGGTCAAGTCCTTAGAAGTAGTATCCTACTATAAACATAGTGGTTTTTAAGGAATCTTTGGATAAAAACAGAAATACCAGGTGATAAAGGATAGGGCTGAGGCCTTTTGAGGAGAAAAGTTTACTAAATAGAGACAGACAGCAGTCACATGGAGAGAAGGAAAAATTACTCTCCTCTGTGTGAAGAATGAACTCACAAGAATTTGGGCTGTGTAGCCCTAAGCACTCTCCTTAACTCCTGTCAAGTAATGGGGAAGAGAAAGGCTAAATTCTACAAAGAAGAAACTAAAATCCCTCTTGGTACCTTTATTCTTTTTTATCTTTTATTTATTTATTTATTTATTGTAACATTAATCTATTGGTTCATTCCTAGAAACCAAACCTTATAAAAAAATTTCAAAACTATGCCAAAATATTGGTAATAGTAACCTTATGGCAAATATTAAGTCTCTAAATGAGCACAAAGTTCTATCTTTTTATGATTCTCGATTATACTTATTCCCAACAAAAATTTTAGGCATTCAAATCCAACATTCTTGCTTTCTAATCATTTCACATGTGTGTATCTGATATCTCAACAGAATACCATTTATTTTAATTCAGGGAAGAGATGACAACAGTCTTTGACAAACTTCTTAATTTTCAAATGCTGAGCAAAGAGGAGAGAGAGTCAACCTTATCTACTGACTCACAGATAATAAGAGTCAAATATTCAATAATTCTCATGGGCAAAAGCCAGCTGGAAAACCACACACATAGCAAATAGATTTATTCATTCATTCATTCATTATGGTTTCATCCAACCATTCACCAAATATTTACTGCTATATATCCCAGGCACTGTTGACATGTGCTGCAGATACAGTGCTGAACCAACCATGGATCTTAGAGCCTTGTGGAGGCCTTAAACAAATAAAACTTAACCTGTGATGACTTTTTTTTTTTTTTGAGAGATTTTCACTGTAGGGCACGTGCACTCGCCAGACAGACAGAGAGAGACATAGAGACAGAAAGCGAGAAATCACCCCCCAGGGGGGATGGTCACGCCGCAATCCCTTCTCCTCCATTCTCCTCTCGGGATCTTGGGCACGCACGCATACGCACCTGGCGTGAGTTTTAAGCCACCGGGTCCGGGACACGAACCGCGGTTGACTACATGGCAGTCCAGCGACATAGCCATTACGCTAACTGCTGGTTCCCAACCTGTGATGACTTTTGCACAGGCGCTGATATCATCCCAATGTTGTTGAAACGTTTTTTTTTTTTTCCATCAACAGCATATTTACAAAATAAGTTTGTCCAAAGTTTCAACTAAATCTATTAATGGTTAGGTCTGATTTTCAATTTACTGGGAATATGGGAGATAGTGGAACAAGTCCATGGACACCATAAGAAGACAATTAGACAAATCAGAAATGTGGAGACTACTTCGGTCTCTTCATAAGGTCACTAGGACTAAAGAAAGAATGGGGACTAAGGGAATGGATGGGAGGAGTTAGACTGAGATCAATGATATTCAAGAGATAAAATGATGAAAGCAGTGTATGAGTCCTAATTGGTTCCTGCCTTAGAGAGAAAAAAAAAAAAACTATAAAATATACTTGAGGGACAATACAGTATGGATTATAAGAATTATTAACTTTTTAGATGTGATAATAGTATTTTTTCCTTGTAAGAAAATTAACTGGAGTCAGCAGGTAGCATGGTGGTTAAGATACTGAATTCCCATAAGGCTGACCATGGTTCTAATCCTGGACTCAGTGGCTTAAAAAAATCACAACAAATAAACAGGCATAGAAATAGATAAATAATTGCTTTTAAAAAAGGAGAAAAAAAGATCTTTTCAAGGACACATGCTGAAAAATTTAGGAGACATGGTGTTATCTGTAATTTACATTTAAAGGTCCAGCAAACAAACAAAAGAAGGACGGACAGATGAGTACACTGAATAAATATGACAAAACATTGACACTGTTGGATCTGCACTGAGGAACTATGGATGTTATTACTCTTTCTACCTTTCTAAATTGTGAAAATATTCCTAAAACAATGTTGAAAAACTATTACACACGATGCTCTCACAGAATCTAATCATAAGCACCTATAAAATATACTTGAGGGACAATATAGTATGGATTATAAGAATTATTAACTTTTTAGATGTGATAATAGTATTTTTTCCTTGTAAGAAAATTAACTGGAGTCAGCAGGTAGCATGGTGGTTAAGATACTGAATTCCCATAAGGCTGACCATGGTTCTAATCCTGGACTCAGTGGCTTAAAAAAATCACAACAAATAAACAGGCATAGAAATAGATAAATAATTGCTTTTAAAAAAGGAGAAAAAAAGATCTTTTCAAGGACACATGCTGAAAAATTTAGGAGACATGGTGTTATCTGTAATTTACATTTAAAGGTCCAGCAAACAAACAAAAGAAGGACGGACAGATGAGTACACTGAATAAATATGACAAAACATTGACACTGTTGGATCTGCACTGAGGAACTATGGATGTTATTACTCTTTCTAAATTGTGAAAATTTTCCTAAAACAATGTTGAAAAACTATTACACACCTTTCTAAATTGTGAAAATATTCCTAAAACAATGTTGAAAAACTATTACACACGATGCTCTCACAGAATCTAATCATAAGCACAGGGGGAGCAAATGCACACAGCAAAATATTATTGTCTTTTTTAATAATCCTAAATTACTTATTCCCAACAACAAACTCTGCCCTTACCTCAATCAGAGCCCCCTTTTCCCTGTCCTCGGATTGTTTGGCACTGTCCAGTTCATCATGCATTTCTGAGAGCTGGTCCTGGAGATCCCTGATCTCAGTCTGGTGCTGTTCTCGCTCCATCTTCACCTGGAATAGCCTGTCAATGAGGGAAGCCCATGAGACAGATGCTCCTACCTGATTTCTGAACTTCACAGGGTCATTTACAGTCGTCTGAAGCCCCAAGGAGCCTCATTTTCTATTCTGCACTGAACAAGGAATTAACAGCTTGAAAAGGCACCTGGTAAGAACTCAAGGCAATAGTCTAATTTACCCAGTAAGACGGAAATGAGAACTCAAACCAACAAAATGGAGAAGGTTATTCAGAGACATTTCCTCTAACGAAAGGAAATAGGAGAGGCCTAGAATCTGGACATCAGAGGTGAGGGCACAGCAAAAGCCACCTCATTTGATTTTTTAATTTTCTTTCTTTCTTTTTTCTTTTTTTTTTTTTTAATTTCTCAGAAGTGCATGCACTCACTGAAGAGAAACAAGAGTAGGGGGAGTGAGAAGTGTCCTCTGTGGAGAATGGTCATACCACAATCCCTTCCCCTCTATTTCTCTCTCCTTTCAGAATTTTGGATGCACATACACAAGCATCCAGCATGTTTCCCGAGTCACCAGGTTCAGGTCTTGAAACACACAGACAGCCATGTACAATCCAGCCTCCTTAACCACCATGTCACAGGCTTGCCCAATATTTTTTCATTAAAGCCATTCTACCTTCTCATTCTCCACTACCCAAGTACTCTAGAATAGAAGAGTCGGCAAGTTATGGCAGGTGGGCCACTCTGGTCCACTGCTGTTTTTTGGGGGTTTTTTTGGTTTTGGTTTTTTTTTTTTTTTTTCAAATAAAGTTTTATTAGGGGACTAGAAGATGGCATTGCTGGACTCCCACGTAGCCTGCTGCAGTTTAAGTCACAGACCTGGTGCCTTAAAACTTACGCTGGCAAGCAGGCATACATACCCAAAATCCTGAGAGATGAAAGAAGGGCGGAGGTGCGGCCATGCCCCTGGGGGCTGATTTCTCGGTTTCTGTCTCTCCGTCTCTGTCTCTCTGACGAGTGCACACACGCTATAGCAAAAATTTCTCTCAAATAAGTAAATAAATAACCTTTTATTGGAACATAGTCATGCTTATTTATTTCTGTATTGCTTGTGCCCATTTTCATTAAATGAGGGCAGAGTTTAATAGTTGCAATAACTTTAAGTCCCACAGACCCTAAAATACTCATCATCCGGCAAAATAAAGTTGGCCAATCTTTATTCTCAACCAAACGCCCAACTACCATACCTTTTTATTTTGTCAAATCTTTACTACGCCCTAGGTTTTCAGATATTTTTCTTACTAACTTCTTTTTGGAAACTAACCTCTGTGGATACTATAAAAAGAAAAAAAAAAAAAAAAAAAACTTCACTACCAAAATTGCTGCTGCACCAAGGAGCCAGTGCTGGGAATTTTAGTAATTATTAATCGTTCTGCTAACCACCTTCACAATTTCACAAGGGTCAGGGGGAAAGGAAGGGTTGGCAGCCTCTATTAATATTTGGAAGGCTGGGGCTGGCAGGTGTTGGTTAAGGTGCTGGACTCCCACATGGCCGACTGTGGTTTAATTCCTGCACCTAGCAGTTTGCTTTCTCACTTTCCTTCTCTCTCTCTCTCTCTCTCTCTCTCTCTCTCTGGCTAAATTAAAAAATGATAATAAGAAGAAAAATTAAATAAAAATAATTTGTTAAAAATATATATGGGGGGGGCCAGTAGGTGGCGTGGTGATTAAGGTTGCTGGACTCCCACATGGCTGACCGCAGTGTGAGTCCCAGACCTGACCAGTCTTTCTCTCTCATGCTCGCTCTTGCGCTCAATCTCTCTCTCTCATATATATATATAATATAAAAGGCTGGATAGTATTAAAAGAACAAAAAGGTTCTGGCTACATACAATACAAGAATCCAGGGAGGGCAACGGGCCCTTGGCCCAGAACTTACTCCTCTAGGTTTTTCCGGAGCTCCCCTTCACTTTCTTCCAGTCGTTGCTGCAACAAGGAGTTTTCTTCCACCTTACTGGCATGTTGGTTGCGGAGCTCTTCTAGGCTTGTTCTCATTCTCTCTCTCTCTTCTTTGATGTTCTGTTGATTCTAATATGAACCAGTGTGATTTTAAGGTACCTCCACTAGACATTAACATAACCCCACAGAAACCCACTTCTAAGTGAATGGACTCGATGTCTTTCTACTTACATGATTAACCAACTTATCAAACTACAAATTTAACGGATAGGAGTTTGTAATCACAACAAACACTAAATATCTATATGTAATGAACTGTAATACTTGTAAAAGAAAACTACAAACATAGCTCATCTCATTCTACTAATTCTACTACCTACTTCAGATGTTTTTAATATTTAGTTTCCTTTTGGCCTGCCTGAATCCACCAGAATTTCTTTTACTCTGTCAAAGCAAACAATCTCTGTATCCCCTGGTTGCTTTAAAAAAATTTTTTCCCTTTGGACAGCAGCAGTGAAACACACAGGAATTTAGTCAGTGATAAGAGAAATATTTCTTTGGGGGGAAAAATTGGCTTTCATTCCATCTAAATATTCAAAGTGCTTAAAATATTCTTTATCAACCAAGACAGAAATGAAAAAAATAACATAAAGGAAAGAACAGATACCTTAACTTCTAGTTGAAGCTGTCTCTTAAGTTCAGCCACTTCTAAAGTCAACTTGTTTTTGTGTTCCAATAGATCTTTAACTTCGGATGAAGAATTTGACACCTATAATTAATTACAAAGATATTTTAATATAAATGTTCAGGATGCCCTAATTCTCTTCTCCCCAAAATGTAATTGGATGCAGCGTAACACTAAACGTTTTAGGACCCATTCAAATGTCAACCCATACAGAGAATCCTTCTGCCTTCACACAGAGTTCATTGCACTGGCCCCTCAAGAGTCCACGGAGATTTATTTTACAGTATTTCCACAGTCACAGGAATTATTTCATCAGGTATATCAATAACTTGTCCAATATTACTAAAACCTGCATAGGCAGTATCTTCATTGGAGGTCCTAGTGCATTCTATGGAATATTATGGAATATTAATGTATCAAATTTAGCCTAAGTAAAATTTATAAGCTTCCCCAGGAATTTGAGATTCCTGGCCACAGAAATAAATGGCTAACAAAAAATCAGCAACATAACCTTTTTGTAAGTAAATTAGGGAAAGCCATTTCATTTCCCTACTTCAATGGCAGAAAAGAGCTTATCTTCATCTTTCTTAGAAGTAGTATGTGCGTTACTACACTAGGGGATTATAAGCTTGGAGTGCAGGGACCATGGGACCATGTTTTATGCATCCCTGTATCTACAGAACCTAGCACTTCTCCTATGTTCAATAAGATCTCAGTAAGTAAGTATTAGAATTTTTGTGCTAGTCATAATAGAGTAGCTGAGAGCAAATTTATCTTCCTGCATACACTGTGAAAGCTAGACAAAATATATAAAACGATTATTTGCAACATTTAAAAACAACCATCACGGGACCAGCAAATGGCGTAATGGTTACATCGCTAGACTCCCACATGGCTGACTGCAATTCAAGTCCCAGATCCAGTGGCTTAAAACTCACACGAAGTGCATATGCATGCATGCCCAAAATCCCAAGAGGAGACTGGAGGAAAAGGGATTATGGAATGGTCATCCACTCAGGGGGTGATTTCTTGCTTTCTGTCTCTCCAGCAAGCACATGCATCCTATAGCAAAAATCTCTCTCAAAAATAATTAATAAAATAAAATAAAATAAAAATAAAAATAACCATTATAGGACCATAATCCTGAAAAAGGAAAACAAATGAGGTTGTCCCTAAATGCATTTCCAAACAATAGAATAGTAAAAGCTCAAAAGCCCAAACAACGTCAATTAGAGAACTTCAAATTAAAACAATGAGATACCAGATACCACTACCACTGCAGAGCTTTTAGAATGGCCAAAATCCACAAAACTGAAAACACCAAATGTTGGCAAACATGAGGACAAGAGGAGTTCTCAGTCTTTGTTTTTAGTAATGCAAAAAGGTACAGCCACTTCAGAAAACAGCTTGGCAGTTTCTCACGAAATTAAACATGTTCTTAGCATACAATCCTATTCGTTGTGCTTCTTTGTATTTACACGACTGATTTTGAAATTCTAACAAAAAAGATCCACACGTGGATGTTTACAGCAGCTTTACTCATAAATGGCAACACTTGGAAGCAACCAAGGCGAGTAGATAAACTTAGCAGGCGAAAGGACAAACTAACTGTGGTATGCTGGGCAACAGGAAACTACTCAACACTAAAAAGAAATGAGCTACCAAGCCATTAAAAGATATAGAAAAAAATGTAAATACATATTACTAAGTCAAATAAGTCAGTGAAAAGGCTCGATCCTGTATGATTCCAAACACATGACATTCTAGAAAAGATAAAACTATGGAGATAGAAAATAGATGACGGGTTACCAGGGTTAGGAGAGAGGGAGGGACAAATAGGCAGAGGACAGAGGATTTTTAGGGCAGTGAAACTATTTTTGTGCTATCACAATTTTGGATACATTACTCATTTGTCAAAATCCATAGAACATACAGTATAAAGAGTGTACCCTAAAGTAAACTACAGACTGCAAGGGATAACGATGTGTCAGCCGAGGTCCACTGATGATGACAGCATACCCGTGTGGTGCAGAATGTGAGCAGTGATGGAGGATGTGTGTGGGGTCCGGGTATATACAAAACAACTGTGCTGTGAATCAAAAACTTCACTAAAAAGTAAACTTCATTAATGTAAAAGGCTAAAGAAAATTCCAAACAGAGAGTAGTAACGTACTGATGAAGGAAACAGATATTGGAGTTTAGAGATGCTAAGCAGAGATTTCAGGGTCAAAGTATTAGGGTGGAGCTCTACAAAAGAAGCTCCAAAAACCTATAAAAAACATTTCTTGGATTATTAGATGATTCATAAGCTGTATATGAACAGTACAAGATTCTAGAGGCCAGCAGAGAAGAACTGCTAGGAGGCAAAGAACCCAGCAGAGACTTCATGGGTTACAGAATGCTAGGGAGACACTAGGATTCATGGATATCTTGGTATCCATATGAGATTCAAGAAAAGAAAACGAATCTTTCCATTAGAATAAGGACACACTCAGAGGCTGGCAGGGGATGTGATGGTTAGGCGCTGGACTCCAATATGGCCAACTGCAATTCAAGTCCTAGACCTGGTGGCTTGCCTTTTCTTTCTCTCTCTCTTTCTCTCTCTCTTTCTCTCTCTCTCTCTCGCTCTCTCTCTCTCCCTCCCTCCCTCCCTCCCTCCCTCCTCCTTTGGCTCTCTCTGGTAAAATTGAAGAAGAGTAAATAAAATTAAATAACAAGTAAGTAAAAAGAAGAAGGGCGGCCTGGGCCAGCAGGTGGTGTATTGTTTGGAAAGCTGGATCTCTCATGACTGAATTTATGGCTCAAGTCCTGACCCAGTGGGTTGAGGGACATGGCAGGCACGTGTGCACACCTGCCCAAAGTCCTAAGAAGAGAATGAAGGAGAAGTGATTGTGGCATGGTCATTCCCCACCGGGGGATGATTTCTCACCTTCTCGCTCCCTCTCTAAGCACACACACCATATGGCAGGAAAAAATAAATAAATAAATAAATAAAGGCACAAACCTAAATAGACCCACATGAACCAAGCACTCAGAATAAAGATTGTCTGCAAGTAACTGAACTGACTATCAGAACAAAACTCAACATCCTTCAGAGGCAGATAGCATAACCCAGTGCATTTATAACTGGTCATCAACTATTGTCTTATATACAATTATAAAAAAAAATTTAAAAAACCACACACACAAAGAAACAGGAAAACTGATCAATAATCAAGACAACTGAGGCAGAGATGACAAAGATACTGGAGTCAGCAGGTAAGGACTGTAAATAATTATTTATAAAATTTTTAAGTAGAGAAAATTATGGACAAATGGGTAAAAAGATAAAGAATGTCTACAAATAATTACTTTATATAAAATGTAATCAAGTGGACATTCTACTGGGTCATTGGGAAAGTCATGACACTTTTTTTTTTATAGAAAAGCAGAAAAATACAACACGACTTTCCAGACAACCTAATAGGACAAAACACAATATGTGAAATTTAAGAACTCTTAAAGAGGATAAGAAGAAGGTACTTTTAAGGACATCTTTAAAAAACATGTCCTAAAATATGACTAAACAGCCAGAAAATAAGATTAGTAATTTTTTTTAAAAAGAGGCGTTTGCCTTCGAGCACATGTGCTCACTGGAGAGAGAGACAGATAGTGAAAAGGAAAGTGAGAAATCACCCGCTAGAGCGGATGGCCACACTGCAATCCCTTCTCCTTCATTATCTTCCAGGGATGTTGGGCATGCGTACACACGTGCCTAGTGTGAGTTTCAAGCCACTGAATCTGGGACTCAAACCGTGGTTGGCCATGTGGGAATCCGGCAACATAACCCACTATACCATCTGCTGGTCCCTCAATTTTAACAGTCAACAGAACTGTGTGGTTCAAGTCCCAGAGCTGGTGGTTTGAAAAACACAGCAGGCTCGTGTGTGTGTGTGTATGTGTGTGTGTGTGTGTGCACAAAATCCTAAGAGAAGAATGTAAGAGAAGGGACTGCAGTGTGGCCATAACCCCTGGGGGGTGCTTTCTCACTTTCTCTCTCTCCCATGAGTACATGTGCCTTATGGCAAATATTTTAAAAGGAGGAGGAGAGGAGAAGAAGCGAGCAGGATATCTGATTTACTAGAAGGAAAAAAAAAAAAACTTACAAAGATCAGCACACAAGAGACATAAAGGACACCATTGACAATTCTAAAACACATGTGATTAGAACTGGGAAGGAGTTGGGAGAGAAAAGAATGTGAAAGAAGCAATATTCAAAGAAACAATAGCTAAGAACTTTTCAAATCCCATGAATGTCAGTAACCTATCAACTCAAAAGCTTAGTTTACCTCTAAGTAGATAGAATAAAAGGAAAATCACACTTGGGCACATTATAGTCAAACTTTTAGAAATTGAAGATAAAGATAAAACATTAAAAACAGCCACTTTAAGGAGAACAACACTAACAATGGTGACTGGCTTCCCAATGGCGATATGAGGTTCAAAAGATAAATAAATAATGTCTTCAGTTATGAAAAAAACAAGACCTGCTAAAGTAGAGGTCCTCAGAAATGAGAGTGAATAAAGGTAATTCTCAGACAAACAACAATGAGAGAATTCACTGGCAGCAGAAAAACCCTACAAGATATAACAGAAACATTCTCCATACTGAAATAAGAGTGCTAGATGCAAACCCAGAGGAAAAGGAAAAATTGTGCTGGAAGGAGAATAAATCTAACGGGAAGATGTGAAGATCTCTACAACAGAAATCACAGGCATTGCTGGGAGATGCTAAAAACATAAATAAACTAGGAGAAAGTTTATGTTTATAAATAATATAACAAATTGGGGCTAACTGATGACCCTGCAGTTATGCAACACCCTGCAAACTAACCCACATGGGAGAGTTTCAGGTTAATGTCTGAAAACTTCCCAAAACACACAAGCCACGCAAGCCCACAACTGATCTGGGGCTGTAAGGGGATGGATCAAAGCATGGGAAACTTATTGGGGTACCTGTTTCTTCAACTCTTGCTAAGGAAAAAGAAGTAGATAATCTAATAATTACAATAATAATACTAATATAGCCAATAATGTTAAGATGT